TATAAGGAATTAGTTTTAAACATAAAGTTGCATAAATATGTGTAGAAGTAGTTAAATGTATGTGTAGGTTTTTCAAATAGTGTATTTGTTTATCAGTGTCTAGTACAAGTACCTATATTATTCGATTGTGAAGTTTGTGTTGATAATAGATAATTTTTTGTGTTTGTTGAAAGTTAAAAACAGTAAGTTTTCGCAAAAATGTGTCCTACAACGACTAGATTCAGGTAATGACCATAGGCAGTACTCAAGTTACGAGAATTGACCCAAGTCAAAGGTAGGTAATGTAAATATTATGTACTTTAATGGATCTTTTATTGATTTTCTTGTTTGATAATTCTTAAAAATATCAACTTAGACTTCGGGTTGTACTGATTTACATATTAATTTATTATTAATAATTATGTAATGTAATAACAAATGTACCGCTTATAAATACTCGGCTCGGCCACAGCCGGCCGCGCTTGTTATTGTTTTGTTTGTTGGTAGGTACCTACGTTCTTAAATTCGTAATATAATATAATATAATATTATTATGATTTTGAATAGATTATCTAGCAATTCGATAATTGAATTTGGTTCATCAAATTTATGCTTCATTATTAGTATAATTAATAGATGTTCAATTATTTGTAAGTTTTGTTGGCTTATTCCATAGTTCACAAAAATACGCGAGATGTCAGTGTATGTAATTTGGCGACAGAAGAAACCACAATATTCTTGAACGCACTTTTCAAAATGTATTCTGTACATGTAGGTACCTGTCTTGTGTGAGTATGATTGTCATTGTATGACCGGGGGGGAGGGGTTTAATCATACGATATTTAATTGCCTACCCTGTCTAGAAAACCTGTGCACGCCACTGAAATCTATTATACATTATATCTACCATTCCAAAATTATTCTATAATGACACCTTTCCACTCTTTGTGAAAAGGACTAGGAGAGTATGGAGTTTGAGAAAAAGATGATTTCTTAAACGTAGCAACATATCATTTAGCGAGTTTAATGTTTTTATTACTAGGATTTCGGTAGAGGCGGCGGGTGCGCCATACTTGTGTGGATAAATGTACACGCAAATTGACTTTGTTAAGCGTACGCTCGGGAACGCTTAACAAAGCATGCCAATGAATTTGCTTGCTGCGAGTTAAACACAAGAGCGCGTGTCTATACGCACTTCAACTACAATTATAGCTCACTCGCGCTCGTGAGATAAAAGAACTATGCTTTTTTGGTGCCGCAGCTACTCTGTGGGCAGTTGGGCACGCGTTTTAACATTCCCTCTGTAACCTAGTGCCCCTAGGCACTTGTCTAATTTGCCTTGGGGATAATACGGCTCTGGAGTTGGGTAATGTGAAGAATGTTTAGACACAATCTATTTTGCTTTTATTTATAGTCCCAAGAACGGATGTACGATTCTTAAAAAATATTATTATTACTTTTTTTTTCTTCTTTGGCAACCGAGAAAAAATTATTATATTTTCTCCTTATTTTCTGTCAATTTACATGACAGGCATACCAACATGTATTGTATATTTTAATCTGTCAATTTGTGTCTACCGTACCCATGTATGGTATAATTTTGGTTGTCAGCAAAAATTGTGACAATAACCTTTGCTATGCATCAAAAATTTAAGAGCCTGTTCCATTCTCGTACGAAATATATCCTTTAGCATTTTTGTCTGACACATAATATTGTCTTTTCCCAATGGGTAAGTAGAATTGTGTGTAATGTAATTGCTTGTTCTTTCAACTTCTTATTGTGCTTGTGTTAAGGAGAATACTGGATATTTTTTTAAGTATTTACTATATATTAAACTTTTCATAAGACATACTAACAACAACTAATAAATTAATTATTATTTTTTGTTTTGGCTTGCTTGCGTACAGTAGCAGCGCGCCAGTCATCGCGTCGTGGTCGCGGAATGCTGCTCATGAATATGAGCCTCTAGCACCAGAAACCAGTCGATTTTCTTGTTAAACAATTACGTGTGTAAGCCGAAAAAGATAATAACATTAAAGTATTTCTTATTAATACTAAAATCTACTAAGAATCAGAACCTTTGGGCTCTGTAGTTGCATTTGTGGGCGTTCAATCAATAAGTCAATGTCTTCTTATCAGTTTCAATATACGCTTATAAAAGATTAACTTTTTTTAGTTTGATAAAGAAACAACTTGGAACTTTACAATTAAATTGTTTTATTCTATAAAGTATGTGCGGAGCGGTACCAATGGATGGCAACATTCAATTAGATTATTAAGGTATGTTTGATATCCACAAGCTCATTATTATTAACCAAGACAGGTACACGTGTCCCTGGAACGCGCCGGACTTCAGTTTTCCGGTGTTTTCATGGTTGTATCTACTGTAGATCCTGGCTTACAGGAATTGCAGCGGTTTTGGAAGGTTGTGGCGGGCTTGTCCTATTAAAAAAAAATTCACAAGGTCATCGCTTATTCTTTTTAACTCGTTGAGTACCATCATTAAAGACACAATTATAGAACAATAGGTTGCGGTCACTGGTGTCCTCGCGGTGTTTGACAGTTTAAAGTGGGCAAGCATCTAACTTTTGGATCAAGTTAAGTTTTTATATCCTTTAAAAGAGAAGTCTAAGACATGTGTGGTGATGTTAATTCTTCCATCAAGTTTTAAATTCTTAAGTATTGATTTGTCTATAAACTCTTTTTGGATACTGGTCAGGTGAAGTGGCCAGTATTATTGTCTCATTTCTTGTGCTAGATAGTAGTTCAGTATTAGTTTTTTGGGTTTTTATAAAGGTTCTTTCTAGCTCAACCCTACCAAACTGAAAAGTTATGTTTTTTCAATCAATCTTCTAATAATCTGTTACGCTTTGATCATGCCTCCTGCATATCACTTATATTATCTCTTTTGATTCTAGGGATGGCTCTCCAGCCTCTTTGATCCACCACTTCATGTAGGTAAGAATCTTCATCTCCTACAAATTGTCTAGGAACTCTATATTTCATTCCTACAACAGCATTCCTTTTCACAGCTAAATCCTTTTTTATAGTCCATATTTGATATGGCTGTTATAAGTGAATTTGGGCCTTAAATTTCCGAGTTCCGCTCTATTGATCTTATGTTGTTAGTGCAAGTATTTGTCAATATTGC